TAAAATTTTCACCTTTTGGGGGCACCTGGTGGCTCAGTTGGTTAAATATCTGACTGCGGCTCAGGTCATGATCTCACGGTTCGTGGGGTTGAGCGCCCCCCCCCATAGGGCTCTCTGCTGTTCAGATCCTCTATTTCCCTCTCTCTCTGCCCCTCCCATGCCTGTGCATTCTCTCTCTCTCTCTCTCTCTCTCTCTCTCTCTCTCTCTCCCAAAAGTAAACATTAAAATTTTGTTTTCTTTCACCATTTTATGTCACATTTGTTTTAAAACAGTATTAAATACCACAAACACTGTAAAAGGATAGCTAATGACTCACACTATTAGGTACCAGGTAAGTTCAAACAGAGAAAATAAAAACCAGGAGTCAGTGTCAGATGATTTCAGTATGAATAATGCTGCAATGTTGAGATTTCACTTCTGACCAAAATCAACGTGTTAGGGAACCGCTGTAGTGTTTGGTTAGGTAGATTTTCTACCTGTGGAACCTGCACACATTTGCTCTAAAACTGTCAACGAAGGGATTTTGGTATGGATGATATGAAACAAATAGAGAGAGTTCTTTTTCAAAAGCTCTATGGAGCACACAAATATTAAAGGAATTTTGTAGAGTATGCAAAAAAAAAAAAAAAACCCAGAAAACAGAACATTACCAGCAGACCATAATATAAAATTAGAAATTAATCATAAAGCAGGGCACCTGGGTGCCTTAGTTAAGCGTCCTAGTCTTAATTTTGGCTTAGGTTATGATCCCAGGTTTGTGGGATCTAGCCCTGTGTTGGGCACGGACTGACTGTGGAGCCTGCTGAAGATTCTCTCTCTCCCTCTGCCCCTCTCCCCTGCTCGCCCACTCTCTCCCCCTCTGTCTAAAAACAAACAAAAAAGAATTAATCAGGAAGCCAGTCGAAACTTCCAATAATGAATGGATTGAGGAAGAGTTAGTGAAATTGACAAAATATTTTCACCTGAATTGCCATATATATGCACATGTCAAAACATACAAAATGCAGATGAAATGTTTACTTGAGGGAGGAGTGAAAATTAAACAAAGCAATCAGTTCAAAACGTTGGGAGAATAATAGTAAATTCAAAGAAAGTAGAAAGAAATGATAAAAAGCCTGTGTGAAAATTAATGACAATGAAAATAAACGATAAAAGCAACAAAACAAAAAGACGGGCATTGGAAAAGAGTCATTTCCAACCTCTGGCCAGATTAATCATGGAAAATAAAGCAAAAATATGTTGTGTGAAATAAATTGGACCAAACTTCAGATAAAATAGTGTTAGAAGAATAAAATGTTCTATATACAAAGGCATACTATAAAGAGTTTAAAAAGAATTAGATATACATATACAACCAGGTAAATCTAGAAAAATGAAAACTACAGAAGTATTCCTAAAGTATGTTACTGTTTGTATAAGTATATAGAACATACAAAGCAATGCTTTTTTTTTTTTGAAACACAAATGTACCAATGGTACAAAAAACCATGAATAAAAAGGTTACTCTTTTGGGCAGGAAAAAATAAAATCAGAAAAGGGTACCAAAAAAAAAGCCTAATGAATACAAGATATATATACATATACACATACACATACATATACATATACATATACATATACATATACATATACATATACATGTTAATGCCAGGTTGTAAGCCCATGGGTATACTTTTCGATGCTTGAAATGTGTAATTTATTTTTTTAATGTTTATTTACTTTTGAGAGGGAGCACGCACGCGCGAATGGGGGAGGCGCACAGAGGAACCGAAAGGAGCTCTGGGCTGACTGTAGTGAGCCAGATGCAGGGCAGAACCCAAGAACTTCGAGATAATGACCTGAGCCTGAAGTCGGATGCTCAACCAACTGAGCCACCCAGGCGCCCTGAAATATTGTGTAATCTAAAAAAACTCACACAAACTATATGAAATCCTGTTTAGTTCTTTTTATCTCTCAGAGCAGTTTTCAAAGTGTGTCCCTCCCACCTGCCCTTGCCCCCATCATCTTCAGCATCTGCACCACCTGAGAACTTGTTAAAAATGCAAATTTTCAGGGGCACCTGGGTGGCTCAGTCGGTTAAGCGTCTGACTTTGGCTCACGTCATGATCTCACGGTCCGTGAGTTCGAGCCCCACGTCGGGCTCTGTGCTGACAGCTCAGAGCATGGAGCCTGTTTCAGATTCTCTGTCTCCCTCTCTCTCTGACCCTCCCCCGTTCATGCTGTCTCTCCCTGTCTCAAAAATAAATAAACGTTACAAAAATATTTTTTTAAATGCAAATTTTCAGACCACACCCCAGACCTACAGAATCAAAAACTCTGGAGATGAGGTCCAGCACTGTGGTTTAACAAATCTTCCAGATGACTCTGATCCATGCTTAAAGTTTGAGAACCACTGTCTTAGAATTACATTTGTCTAAACTTTGGCTAGGCACCCCCAGACATCACCATCACCTGGGGCTGCTTGTCAAAAATGTAGAATCTGATTTCATAGGTCTGGAATGAGGTTCAGGAATCTGCACTGTGTGTAATAAAAGTTAAAACCACTGTTTCCGAAGGTAGGTTTTTAGTGACTGTTCAATGAGCAATCCACAACCTATAGAAAACACTAAAGGGAGGAAGAAAATGCCTCATTCTGTTCCACTCTCCACCCTTGTTCACTATGTCTCGGCCCCACTGTAAAGGATGCTTCAATCTGGCTAATATACACAAAGAATGAAGCCTGAGTTTCAGCACTCTGTGCATTCTGTTCTAATGACTAACCGAAAGAGCGTCCTTTTAAACTTCACTTTTGTAAAATGGTTAAAACCATTTTCCACCAATGATATAGTGGAACTTTTAAAGCGTACTCGTAGTTTTATCCCATTGTTATTTTAAGGATATACATATATATACTTGTATGTGGATACAAACCCTTGAATGATGGACAGAAACTTTTAACCAGGGTCATCATGGATACATGGTTCTTAGAAGGGGAGGGTGAAGACACTTTTACTTTTCATTTAATTTCCTCGAACTGTTAGAATTTCTTGCCACCTGTATTGATTACTTTTATATTTACACTATTTCGTTGATTCTAAAGTGGTCTTCCTTCATGTTTAAACAATCCTGAAGTTGAGATGTTTCTTACAATCAACAGGTATGCCACAGTTTAAACACTGGCAGCATTTTTGTGTGGGTGCTTTGTAGTACATAAATTAAAATGAGTCTTTTTTTTTTAATGTTTATTTATTTATTTTGAGAGTGAGCCCAAGCAGGGGAGGGGCCGAGAGAGAGGGAGAGAGAGAGAATCCCAAGCAGGCTTGGCACTGTCAGTGTAGAGCCCCATGTGAGGCTCCAACTCACAGTGAGATCATGGACCTGAGCGGAAATCAAGAGTCAGCTTAACAGACTGAGCCACCCAAGCACCCCTAAAATGAGGCTTAAAATCGATGGCATCTTAGGATGTATGAAAAATAGTATAAGTTAGGGAGTGAGGAAATACATGATTTTAGGGGTTCACATCTACTCTTGGATATATTTTCCTTGGAGAATTGAATAGGAAAAGATTTTTTAAAGTAACTATGTATGAGTTATTCAGTCATTTATTGAGCCACTTCTATACACAACAAGGTCCTGTCCTCTGAGAACGATGGGAGGAATATAGGAAACGAGGCAGTCTCCTCTCTTTTATCCTAGTTTAAGTGTCAGGGCTCTCACTGGGGAATGACACTCTCAAAGCAAAATTCCCTTTTTAGAAAGCTTAAACCCGACCAATGACTCTCAAGTAGTTTTATCAACCACATAGTGCAGAACACGCCCGCACAACGAAGAGGAGAAGGGGCTGCGGGTGAACTTGCCCGGAAAAGGCCGGCTGAGGGTAGCCGTTTCCCGCGGCGGTCTTTAACACCCACCAGATCTGCCTGGGCAGCCAAATCAACCGCGTGCTCCTCCCCGCCCAGCCCCAGCCGCGACGTCCCCCGGTGTCCGCCACCCTGCGACTCGAATTTGGCCGAACTGCGCCAAACTCCCGTACAATCTTCCCAGAAAGCGCGAGGGATGCCTTCGGAGCACCCGGGCCGCCCTCGGGAGGCAGGCGCCGGAGCCGTGCCGGGGGCGCAGGGAACGCGCAGCGGCCGCAACCCCGGGGGAGGCTGCGCAGGTGCTCCAGCGCCCGGCGGGGCGGAGAGCGCGGTCAGAGGACAAAAGGTTGCAGCCGTGCGGGGCGGGAGCGGCGAGAGGCTGCGCTCGGGCTCGGCCTGACGAGTTCCCCTCGAAGTCAGTCCGCGAAACCGTAAGTGCCCCACGCAGGAAAAGACTAACTTCAGCAAATAAAGGGAAACGATTTGTAAAAATGTCAAAAAATCTGCCCAAACAGAAAGGCTCCTTCTCATTAGGGGCTACCTTGTTACTGCAGGATAAACTTTGCAGTCCACTCTCCCTAAGTTAAAAAAACACGAGTCACTTTGAACCTTTCAGCTAAAGACCCAGTTTCCGAAAGGGCAGCAGCGCTCGGCCTGAAAGGGGGCGCTTTGGCTCGGGTCGGGAAGGTGTCGGCCGGGGCCGTGGGGGCCGGCGCCCCCGGGCGCATCGCTGCTCGGAAGTTCACTGCCGACGCCTTTGCTCCCCAGGAGGGTCATGAGAAGCCAAGGCAAAAGCTCCTGAGGCCGCGCGGCCCTGTTCCGAGGACCCCGCCGGTCTGAGTCACTGAGAGTTTGTCGGGTCAAAGGCGCCCGGAGGAAAAACTGTCTCGGTTAGATTCCCCCGCCGGGCAGTGGCCGGCTGCCGGGACCGGGGCAGGGAGGGGCGCGCGGTGCAGCGCACCGCGAGAGGTCGGGTCGCCGAAGCCGGGGACAGCGGAGCGGCAGCCGAGGGGCTCACGGAGAGGGGGAGGGGGAGGGGAGCGTGTGGCGGGCGGCCAACGCCTGGACGCGCACACTCGGCGCCGGGGGGCGCCCTTCCCCGCTCGTGCGCCTTGGCTCCTGCGCGCCCGGGTTCCGCCCCCCGCCTTCGCCTCCGCCTGCGCCCTCGGAGAGCCACCGCACACGCCACCAGACACTCCGGCCAGTGGGGCGACGCGGAGCGTCCTCCCTCTATCTCCGGGCAGTGAGCGCTCTGCCCGCCCGCGCGTGCGCCCCGGCGGGCGGCTGGACCCCGCGGCGAGAGGGAGAGCGCAGGGAACCCGAGCCGCTCGGAGGCGGGGCCGTCTGCCCGAGCCGCGCGGAGCCTCGGGACAATGGGGCCGCGGCGGCTGCTGCTGGTGGCCGCGGGACTCAGTCTGTGCGGCCCCCTGCTGTCGGCCCGCACCCGAGGCGGCAATTCCGGTGAGAGCTGCCCCGGTATTCCCTCCCTGCTCGTTGTGGGCCCGGCAGCCAGGGACCCCGCGGGAATGGAGCGGGCGGGAGAGGGGACCGAATGGGTACAGGCTGCGCTTTCCCCTCGACGGCGGTGCCCTTGGCCGCACCCTTTGTCTCAGGTTGTTCCAGAAGCCAAGCAGCTATTTGAGCTGAGATCCAGAGTCTCCCCCAGTCAGATCCCGGCGGGGATTATGAGCCATGCTCCTTTGCACTTGGTTTCGGAGGATGCAGCCTTCTGGGGACGTGGTGTTGGATAGGGAGGAGGAAGAGGTGGTCACATTTTCCTGGGGAAGCCTGAGGCCCCTGGCCCCTCGTTGCTTTTGTTGCCACTGTGTGACCTGTTTCTCCCAGGACCGCTCCAAAAAGAACGGGTCTTGGGTTGCCCCACCAGTCTACGTTCTGGCCTTTTCAACATAAAGTGGAGAAGCGCTCCCGCTGAAGTTTTGTTTTGCTGGAATTGTTTCTCTTGCACATATTACGGGCGAGGAAAATGGTGTAGAGAAAAGCTAAGTACTGGGGACTTTTCGTAGAAAATCATTATCAGCAGCTTCTGACACGGGCCGTGTGTATGGGGAGGTGCTCATGGTGAGGAATGTATGGTGATAACAGGATAGCCACAGGATGGCAGTGGCAGCGGCCTCAGTGATGGTGCTGGTGGCTGGGAGGTTTTGTTACCCAAAACCCAGTCTTCCAAGTGAGCTGAGGAAAGAGAGATCCTCTCCCCAGAACCTGGCTCCCTTTGACACGATGGGAGTTCAGTATTTCTGTTTCTGGCATGCTGCAAGGAGGAGGTTGCTTACCAGCATATAATTCTCGCCATTAGTGTGTATTTTTAAGTATCTGGCTACTCGACCAAATAAATGTATTTTCCAAACGCCCCTCACCCCTAAAAAGCAGGACAGAGAAGTTGTTTTTAACTGGTAAAGGCACTAGTTTGAAGCTGAGGGGGGAAACATTGTTTCAGGTTCTTCATAGCGATAGTACTTCATAAGCTTTTAGCCCCCTCCCCCCCCCCATTTTTTTTTTCATGTACAAACAGATTCTAGCTGGATTTCTTATGGGTAACAGATTGTGTACTTGACATTGTTTTCACACTGGAACCTAGTGTAGGTGCATCAAGAAAAAGGTGGTGGGGTGCCTGGGTGGTTCAGTTGGTTAAGCATCCTACTCTTGGTTTAGACTCAGGTCATGATCTTAGAGTTGTGTGATCGTGCCTCTGATGGGGCTTCTTAACAGGATGGAGTCTGCCTGGGATTCTCTCTCTCCTTCTCTCTCTCTTTGTTCCTCCCCTGCTCGAGTTCTCTCTCTCCCAAAATAAATAAACCTTAAAAAAAAAAAAAGAAAAAAGAATAAGGGGCGCCTGGGTGGCTCAGTTGGTTAAGCGTCGGACTTCGGCTCAGGTCATGATCTCACCGTCTGTGAGTTCGAGCCCCATGTTGGGCTCTGTGCTTTCCGTTCAGAACCTGGAGCTTGCTTTGGATTCTGTGTCTCCTTCTCTCTCCGCCCCTGCCCACTCACTCTGTCAAAAAATGAATAAACATTTTAAAAAAAATTTTTTTTAAAGAATAAGAAGTGACAAAAATAGTGTTTTCTCTGCTCTGCGTCTTTGCTCAGGGTGAGTTTGGACACGGTGCTTTTGGGAAAAATAAAAGCTTCAGATAGAGGCCCAGTTTTGCAGGAGCTAGCCAAGCTGCTGTGGATAACTGGCATTATCTCCTGGGGTGTTTGAGGAAGCATGGAGAACTGAGCGTTGTGTGTGGTGTTACATGTGCTGTATTATGTGACTTTGTAATTTTATTTTGGGACAAGTTGCTGAGAATACAAATTGTTGTTTGTGATTTGGATGGTAGTGTTGGGGACAAGTTTATACAAGCGCTGACCCACTGTAGTCACCTTTCCTCGCAGTGGCCTCGGGGGAAGATTCTTGGTCTCTGTTAAGGAGTAAAGTTAAGGCTGCTGTTTGTGCTCTGCTTTCTTCCTTATGAACTGAGAAGGTACATGCTAAGATGGGCTAGCCGGTGTGGGCGGATAACTGAACACACACACTGGCTCATTTGTCTACAGTGGATTCTGGAACCACTTGGGGAGGGAAAGAAGAAGGGACGCCGAGGGAGGAAAAGGAGCTCAGGCTAAGTGTCCTGTTCCTTGTCAGACCCTGGGTTGGGAGGCATTTGCACTTCAAAGTATCTTAATTTTACCCTGTCAGAACACTTGGTCAAGGCAGATGTTTATCCCGTTACCATTCTGAAACCAAGGCTCAGAGACAGTATACCGAAATTCCAAATGGGGGAGGGGGCCCTGCATGCAGGAAATAAGTGGGGCCTTGTCTTTAGAGAGTTTAAATCACTAATAAAATCAACTAAAAAATAGGTCTGCTTTTTCTTATCACCGTTCACAGGCAGCTCTAAATAGTATCTGTCATAACCGGTTGTATGCGATCGGAGGAAATGTGAGACCCCAGGCATTGGCAAGCCCTCCAGGCTGGCCCTGCCCACCAGTTTGAGCTTTCCTGAAGCTCTTGGGACTTTTTGTCCCCACTCATGTTGGCATTTCCTGCACTGTCACTATGTGGGTATCTCATCTCTCCAGTTAAGATTATAAACTTCCATTTATCCCCAGGGAGTCTAGAACCAGTGTTCATTCAGCCGACATTTATTGAGAAATTCATGAGTTCATTAGCTGGTTTACTTTCCTTTGTCCATGCGATGTAAGTGACATGACTTGCCTTCATTAAAGAGGGCCAACATCCAAGGGGCGACGTTTGTGAAGGTTGTGAGGTTCTGGAGGGTGAAAGGGTTCGAGAACAGCTGATGGTGACCATGGTAGAGGGGATTGGGTGGAAGATTCTACATGCTGCCCACCTGCCCAGAAGGTCAAGCCCAACTCCTTAGCATAGAGTGAGGTGCCTCTCCCCTTGCAGGATGGGTCCCCAGCCTCTATCCAGCCTCCTCTTTACATAACCTGTTACATTACCTAGATTTCCCCCAGCCCCACCCTTCACTTCCTCCTCCAAGGAGCTCTGCTTTCTGTGTCTTCTATCCCCCTGCCACTCCCTCTGGCCAAAATGCCCTCCCTTACACCCCACGTATTCACATTTAATTAAAAACAGCCACTCTGTATCAAGCACCTACTACAGCAACATCGTGCTTAGGTTCTTTACATACACTTTCTTGTTTATTCCTCATGACAGTCCTTTCAGTAGATGTCCCCTCCATTTTGCAGGTAGGTAAACAGACCCCCAAATGGTTAAGTCACAAGTCTAGCAAAAAGTGGATCTGGTATTTGACCACAAGCCTGTCTTTCCTAAGTTCTGGCTTTCTCTATCTGGCCCCTCTCCCCGCCCCCCTCCCCATAGAGAAGAAGACATCCAGACCCCCTGTAGAGAAGAGTAACTCTTAGGTTCTCCAGAAAAGTCTGCACCCCATTGGTCTGTAGCCCAGGCCTAGCACATGGAGGTGTTTAGGGAACATTGATGCTTAGGTTGTGGTATCCTACCATTTACTTTTGCAAACACGTGATAAGACAGGCCATAAATGCATCCCTACTCATGAATATGCTAATTAATTGGCTGTTACTGAGAGACTGTGATCTTAAGCCTAAATAAAAGGCACAAAATTGGACACTGATTCTACCCTAAGCAGACCAGAAACCTCTGTAAGATTGAAAGCCAAATTTCTTATGAAAAGCAAGAGTCGCCTTCTACTCTAAAAATCTACCTAAATTAGTTTCTTCCTTCTCTCCCTCCCTCCTTCCCTCCTCCCCTTTTTTCATCCCCTATGCCTTTGACGTTTATTTTTATAGGCCATATAGAGATAATAGGTTCCCCCTAAATTAGTCCACCCTTCCTTTGTGTGAGGGAATGTTTCTGAGGAGTGGGGGCCCCTTCTCAGGAATATTCTCATGTCCTCTCTGCTGGATGCCTTTGCACCCCTCTCTCCATCTTTCTAATTCAGTATTTCTCAGCCCTTTATGTCTACATGGATTGGTGTGCTGTGAACCCTAACTTGCACTTTCTCACCAGCTCTGAATTTGCTCCTTTTCCAAAATGCTTCTGGCCAGCCCTCCTCCCACTGCCCTCCCTGCCCCTTCCCCCTCCCTCACTCAGTTCATCTTTGTCCTTGTCACCCTCACACACTGGACCTCAGCTGAGCCTTAAGTGTGTGCAGTTCCACAGAGACAATGGACTCTCCAAGACCCTTGGTTTCTAATCTTCCCCGCTCTCCTCTGTTTAGACACACATTCCTCTTTTCCCTCAGAGCTCCATTTTCTTTCTTTCCTGTATATTTTTAAATTGAGGTAAAGTTTACAGAGTGTTAAATTAACCCCTTTAAAATATACAGTTTAGGGGTGCCTGGGTGGCCCAGTGGGGTAAGCCTCCAGTTCTTGATTTAGGCTCAGGTCATGATCCCCCAAGTTGGGCTCTGCACCACAGTAGGGAGCCTCCTTGGAATTCTCTGTCCTTTCTCTATGCCCCTCCCCCACTCGCATGTGCATGCGCGCTTTCTCTCTCTCTCTCTCTCTCAAAATAAATAAACATTTTAAAAGATAATAAAGTACATAGTTTAGTGGTATTTAGTACATTTACGATGTTGTATAGCCACTACATCTGTCTAGTTCCAAAATATTTTCATCACCCCAAAACAAGCCCCTTAAACCCCCTTCTCCCCCCAGCCCCTGGCAACCACAGATTTGCTTTTTGTCTTTGTGAGTTTACCTCTTCTCTGCATTTCTTTCTTTCTTTTTTTTAAAGATTTTATTTTATTTTTTAAATAATCTCTGCACCCTACTGGGGGCTCGATCTCACCACCCTGAGATCAAGAGTCACATGCTCCACCAACTGAGCCAGCCACACAGCCCCCTTCTCTGCACTTTGTATAAATAGCATCATACAGTATGTGGCCTTTGGGTTCTGGAGGACTCTCCTCTCACTAGTTTTCAGGCTCCCCTGTGCTGTGTATACTTAGGAA